AAGATCTACACGGTTGAGGAGCCTGTTCACCCATGCTTTCGATTTGAACGACCTGCTGTCCTCAGCTTATGATCGCTCGAGGATGTGGCAGCTGGCTTTGGGGAACTTCCTTAGTTCCCTTAACTTGTGCCCTCGCACTACTCTTGCTGAGAGTCTGCTGTTGGCCCTGAGTTGTTGGGTCCTCGGGTTCGTTTGTGGGTCCTTAGTCACTGTCCTGATAGTATCCCAGCGTTGTCGCCAGCTTCTGGGTCTTCTGGTTAGGGAGCTAGTTAGGCCGCTGCCCATCCAGAGTCCTGAGGATAGGCTAGCTGGGTACAGGCGAGCGCGTGATCAGTGAATGGGCCCCAAGTTTACTCCAACTGCTGCATCGTCATCCGCTGCGACAGTTCGAGTGACAGTGCAGGTGGACCTGCCACCAGCTGCCCACCCCGAGTCTGCAGAGTGGATCGTAGTGGAACATCCTGCCCGACTCCTTCCTGCTGTTCGTGACAGGTTGGCTGCTAGATTGTCTTCTACGACCGCGAAATCTTCTCCTATAGATCGCATTGAGGCTGCCTGGAGGGCAGGTTACGACAGTCGCGACAAGAATCTGGCTGCCGAGGACGTGGTCAGGCCACCTGGTCTTGGAATCTCCAATAGCTGCTGGTTGGGTGTCAGAGGTGATCAAACTGTGTGGGTTGTGGTTCGTCGCCGAGCCGCTGACGTTCTTCTTCGCAAGGAGCCAACTACACGGTTGGTGGCATTCCCTTCACAAGCCGAGGCGGAAGCTTGGGTGTTGGGCTACGGCCTTGACCAGCTCCCCTCTCCTCAATAATGCCGTGGCGTGCTTTGGGGGTTAGGCGATCTGGGACTCTGCCCATTGCAGAGACCAGCAACGATCCTGAATGGCTTCTACTTCGCCTTCCCGGGGAACCTTCAGTGCGAGAGGCCGCCGCAGTTCCTATCCTGAGGAGGGTAGGCGGGCTGCTCCTGGGGATGGATTCCTCTTTCATCACCGCTGCGGAGATAAGCAATGGTGCCATCGCGAATGTCACCACTGCCCTTGGCCCCACCCGCATCGTCCAGGTGGACGGTCTTCCAGACGACGAGGACGCCGACCCCGTAGAGATCAGCATGCTTTTGGTGGATTGGCCCCAGTCCCATTACAAGTTTTTGCTGGGCGGGGGGACGGCTCCGAATTGGCCGACGTCAACAGTCTTCCCTCATTCTGGGGAGGAGGTGTTCCACACAGTCAACTACGATCAGCTGGTTACGATGGCCAGGGAGTGGGTCGAGTCGGAGGAGGGTCCGCAGACAGATGCCTACCATACAGCTGCGGAGGTTGCTCCGCCTCGTCCACCTGCAGCCTCCGACGACCTCTTGGCCCAGATCTTGGCGCAAACACAGGACACCGCCGCTTTGGTGAACCGGTTGCAAACCGACCTGGACAATCTGAAGGCGCAGCCGTCTGCTACTCTTCCGAGTGGCTCAGTCGGGCCCTCGGCATTGGGAGCGGCCAGGCAGCTTGTGGGAGCGGCGCCAAAGACGAGGGCCTTGGCGACGCTCGCAGGGGGTCGTCCCGACACCGGCGCCGGGGCGCTCGTAGGCGAGGATGCCGAGGAGGACGCCGAAGAGCTCCCATTGGATCAGCTCCTCAAGGCGGCACTGGTGGGGATGTTGGACAAGAAGAAGCAGAGGACCAAAGCTCGTACCACGGGCCTGCCCCTCACCACGGACCACTCGGATTCCGAGGGGGAGGAGGATCCTTTGCGGCGCTTGAGTGGCGCCAAGGGCACTATGCTTCTGGAAAAGCTTCGGTTTGCCATGGAAAGCGAGCCTCAAGCTTATATCAATGCGATCGAGGGCCTGGCCGCCCAAACGTTGGGCGAGGCATCAGCCTCCGCTCACACCATGGAGAAGTACATCAAGGATCAGCTTCCGATTGGTGCCGAGCGCACGTTGGGCTACATGGTTTGGGGCATAGGGCGTGCGCTTACCCTTTTGCGGGGCGGAGAGACTGCCAAGGCGCACCTGGTGTTGTTGCTGCTGATCACAGCCACCGAGCAGTTCAAGCTGGACGGCACCTGGAGTTCAGCGTGGCGGATCACACATTTGACTCCCCCTCCGTTTTCGGACTGGCGCACTCGGGGCGAGCAACACCTGGCCCAACTACGCTCCGACCATTCGCACACCAGGCTCGCCCATGCCACATGGATGGCCGCGATCGCGGCAAAGCTAAAGGACGAAGAAGTGCTGACAAAGAAGCGATTCCAGAACCAGGGCGATCCACCGAACCGACCAGACCGGCCCCCTCGTGGACGCGGCAGAGGCAAAGGCGCACAGGATGCGCCAAACACGCAGTGAACATCACTGCTTGGTCCGATCTGCCCCATGTGTTGTACAGTTTTCTTCGCAGATCAAGGACAAAATTTGGGAGTTTTTTGCGCAGCAGTTATAAGCGGACGGGCTTTTCGGCTATGCCTTCCGCGGAGCTTTTACCTTGTCCGATCCCTTTCCCATGGGAACAGGCTCCCTCCTCAGGGGGTTCCAGGCGCCTTTCGAGATTTAAGCGGCGACGGGCCCTTGAGTTGATGGTCAATCTTCAGATTTGTGCTTTAAACTTTGTGTTTCTGGGGTTCCCCTTTGTGTGTCCTCCACGGGGTTGCCGAGGGGAGCTTCGGAAACAACACGTCAGCATGATCCAGAGCCTTTTAGATCGGAATCGCTCGACCTGCCGCCTGGCTAGGGATCTTTCCAGTTGCGGCTCCAAGCTTTCATCTGTACAGTCTGAATTAGAGGCTTTTGAGGTTGCCTTTGAGTCCTTAAGGGATCTTACTTATGGGGCGGCTAAACAACGCACGAGTTCTCCAGCCAGCGGCGCACGTACTGAGGTGGTACCACTTGTGGCGAGTCGGGTGGCGTTTCCGAGGGAGTTGAAGGGCTTTGATCCGATACCGTTTCTGCCTGAGCCCTTTAGGACCGCATATTCTAACCCCGATACTCTATTAGCCCCGACTTCGTCACTCAGCGTGGTGCCGCCGCTAACAACGAATCGATGTGAATTTTGGCACTTGTGTTGGCGATGGGATTCAGTAGATCGTTTGCTGTTGGCAGTGGAGGATGAGATCTCTGCGGAGTGGGTGAGTAACCTTTTCTGTTTGGAGAAACCTGACCTAGAGCTCAGACAGATCATTGATCGTAGGCCTAGAAACTCTTTGGAGAGTCCTCCGCCTGCTGATGCACCGAAGATGGGGCATGCGTCTGTCTTCCTGGGGATCTGTGTTCCGGCTAAAGGGTGCATTCGGGGTTCGGTTGATGACTTGCGCAACTATTATCACGAGTTTCAGGTGTCTGATGATAGAGCGTTGTCTACGCCGGTAGGCCCCTTATGGTTTGCCAAAGACTTTGCCGGTTCACGAGCCCTGGCCAAACTAAAGGAGCGAAGACCTGACCTCACGATCACCGCCAACACTCGCTTGCACTCCTGTTTTGCGGGCCTTTCCATGGGTGACCACTGGGCTCCAGCTATAGCTCAAGTTGCTCATGAACAGTTGTTGTTCTCTTACGGCGCTTTGCGCGCGGAAGAACACCTGAAATTGGGCCACCCAGTCCCGCGAGCCCCGGATGGTCACTATTCAGGAGTGTGCATAGATGACAAGCTGTCGCTGCAGGTTTTCCCACGATATATGCCGCCTGACAGGCCTGACCTTGAACCGAAGAGTCGGGACCTGGAGGCATGCGCCCAGGCCGATACAGCTTATGCTAAGGTTGGTCTATCTTGTCATCCCAAGAAGCGCAAGCGTAGGGCCTCAGAGTTTAAAGCATGGGGTGCCCATTTCGATGGCGATGCAGCTATTGTGGGTATGGACAGAGCGCGGCTGACTGTTTTGTCCTTCTACACAGCCCTTTTGGCTACGAAGGGGGTCGTTTCAGAAAACTTGCTGCAGCGGGTCGTGGGGCTTTGGGCGTTTGGGCTTCAGTTCCGAAGGCCCATGTTCTCTCTTTTTCAGGCTGCTTATAACATTGGCCATCCAAATGGTAGTGCTCACGACGCCTTCCGCATGCCACACGACCTGCAGCAGGAGTTGTTGGTGATGTCAGTGTTGGGTTCATTAGCTACAACCGACTTAAAAGCCCCAGTGGATCCTTTCGTTTACGCGACTGACGCTTCGCCACATGGTGCAGGGATAGTATGTGCCAGGCTTGGACAGCCGGTCACCACAGAGCTTTTCAGGCGAGCTGACACGAGGGGGTTTTACACGAGGTTGCTGTCTCCCCCAGGTGCAGCTCTGCAGGAAGCGGGGTTCTCGCCTGAAGAACCTTTAGATTGGCCTGCTAAAGACAGTGAGCAGTCCAAAAGCTTCAGCTCTTCAGCCTCTGTGGTGACTGACTGCCCTCGCCTGCCTGTGTCTGCGCCACCGGCAACTGAGTTTGAGACGATCGTTGATGAGCTCTCAGAGCATTGGGAGGTGTTTGAGCGGTTTAGAAAGGCCTGCTTGTCTTCCTCCGCCTTCATGTGGGAGGCTTTTGAGCTTGATTTCGTGGAGGTTTATGCAGGCACGGCAACACTGTCTAGAGCTTTCGCTAGGCAGGGGTTTAGAGTAGGCCCTCCTCTCGACATCAGCTCAGGTTGGGACTTAGATGATAAAGTGTTTGCTTTCCTCCTTAAGCTGAGCTCTGCAGGTAAAGTGGCCTTGTTATGGCTCAGCCCTCCGTGCTCCACGTTTGCGGTCTCACGCTGCGCACGCTTCCGCTCAGTCTCAGCCCCTTGGGGTTTCGATGTGTTGGACCTTGATACCGCCTGGGGCAACCTTCACCTACATCAGAGCCTAGCCCTGTTTTGCTCCCAGCTTGCGGTCAAGCATGAAGCTGTCATTGAAACACCATGGGGCTCATATTCGCGGAAGCTTCCTTGGTGGCGAGTGTGTGCTAGCACAGGACGGGAGTTTAGGGTAGACCTGTGTAGATATGGACTCCTGAGTCAGAAAGCTACCTGCCTGTTAGCAACGTCATCAACTTTGGGTAGCATAGCTCGTAGATGCAACTGCACAACTCCCCACACCCAGCCAGCCACCTTGCGCACCAAAGACTTAGCGGCGTACCCCGAGAGCTTTTGCGAGGAGCTCGCTCGGATTGCGCGAAGCTTTGCAAAAGAGGGAGACAGACCAACGAAGCATACCTCGCATGCCATTGATGGGAACACGGGTGATATTCGGGATCATAGAGGTTCTCAGCGATTTGTTAGCCATCTCTGGTCTACACATTTGGCTGAGGCTCTTCCGTGGCGTACTCGTAGGGCTTATCGCTTTAAACACCCAAACCACATCAATGTGCTAGAGGAACATGCTCACAAAACTTTAATTCAATTGGCGCCTATGGGGTCACGTTTAGTTGTCTTTCAAGACTCGATGGTCACATTGGGGGCAAACGCCAAGGGCAGAAGCTCTAGTCTAGCCTTAAATCGTTTGTTGAGGAAGTCCTTAGCTTTGCAGCTTGCCAAGAATGTATATGCTGTAGGCATTCACTCTCCCACATGGGCCATTCGAGCTGACGACCCCTCACGCCAAAAACGGCTTCGGGCACCTCGTGTGCCTCTTCCTTCGTGGCTGCTGCAGTTGAGAGCAGGTGATCTGGCAGGCGCCCAGGATGCCCTCGATCTCTCTTCTGGCACTCCTAGGTCCTGGGGCAGGTGGCTCTTGTTCATCCAGACTGCTCAGTTGGCTGTTAGTGGTGGTTTTTCTTCGCTCAGTGAGTGGTCCGCGGCCCACGCCGCAACCCAGGGACCGCGCAGACCTGGAGCGGGGTCGAGTCACGTCCACCACAGCTTCCATCCGGGTCCAGTTGATGGAGCAGTTTCAGGACTGGATACAGACGGAAGAGCCCGACTTACGGCCTCTGCCGGAGCTGGCGCGATGGGATCCGATTCAAGTGGCAACGTTGCTCGAGGAATATGGCCGAGTGATGTACGAAGAGGGTTCCCCGAGACGCCAGTATGCAGAGACCATCAACGTCATTGTCCAGCACTTTCCGTACTTGAAGACATTCCTGGCGGGCCCATGGCGCCTTCTCACAACATGGGAGGGCCTGTGGCCGGGGAAAGTCCACCCCCCGGTACCACTACCCCTGCTTCAGGCACTCGTGACCACAGCGCTGGCCTGGGATTGGGTGCGGTTCGCCATGGTGCTCCTTCTCGGATTTTACGCATTGTTGCGGCCCTGCGAAGTCATTGCGTTGAGGGTGAAGGATTGCTTACTGACTTCAGAGACCGGCGTGCAGGAAGTGATCTTCATTCGTCTGCAGCTGGTCAAGAGCAGGACGCGGGGCGCACGCATGCAGAGTGTGCGATTGGACGTGCCGTACGTAGTCGCTTTTCTCAAGAAGTGTTTCAAGACCATGCAGCCCGAAGAAAGAATTTGGTCTTTCTCATCAGCAATACTCAGAACGAGGCTCCAGCAGACGCTGACGGCTGTGACTAGTCAGCCCAACCTAGTCTTGCCCAGCTCGCTGCGTCCAGGTGGTGCCACGTTCTGGTTTAGAGAATGGCAGGAGGACCTGCCACGCCTTCAATGGAGGGGTCGCTGGATGCATTTTAAGACTTTGGCGCATTATATCCAGGAGGTGGGTTGCATCAATGTCTTAGATCAGCTTAGTAATGCAGCCAAGACCCGCGTGCATACTTTGGCCGCCTTGACTGAAGCGGCTTGCAAGGAAACGGTGGTGGTAACAGACCTGTCTTCCAAGGTCCAGCGACTTTTGACGCTTGTGCAGAAGCAATCAGCACGGAGTTCCACACGAACCTAACTACTCTGCAGTCCCGCCCTCCCATGCCCGAGTTAGTGGTTTGGTAGGGGGCCACTGTGGCCCTAAGGCTGT